TTTATATTGGACAACTTGCTTGTATTTTAGGTAAGGCAGCGAGGGACAATATCCGACATACCCATAAGCTTCGTCACAATACAAGAAATATCTCTTACATTTGAAAAATACACTAACCTTCTTTATTTGTTGTTTTGAGAAATATATTCCCCTTTTTTATCACTTTTAGCCTTGTCTCATTTAAAATGCATTTGTAAATAAAAGATTATTTTTCGATAATTAAATGTAGTTAATTTTCTCAAAGTAAACTATAGAAATATAAATTGATATAGAGTTCGTTTGACATTATATATATTGTAATCACATAAATTTACTCATTTTGTTTATAAATAGTATTACTCTTCTAAATATATGTGTTTAGATCAATTATATACAGAGTTTAATTTAACAATATAGTTGTTTATAGAGATGATATCTAAAAGACGTCCTTTAGTCTTACGACAATAACTCATACATCCAACACATTTAAAAAATAATGTTAACCTCCTTTATTTCTAAAATGAATGATATATCTAACAGGCCATGATGAACTAAAAAACAAGTTTTCTACTAATTTGCTCGAAAGTGATAATTGTTCCTTGAATCGCTCAACCATGGTACTAGAAATTTGAACAGAAGATTATATTGAAAAGGCTATTGAAGAGTCCTTACCCAGTTTTGTGGACGTATTGTTGTTGCGTAGGAACTGTTACTCATGTCTGATTTTAAAATTTCTAATTTTTGGAAACCACTAGGCTAACACTTCCAAGTTCATTTGGAAGAATATTATGTGCCAATTTAGTATCCCCCGCTCCATTGCATTTGATAATGGTTCGTAATTTGAAAATAGATAAGTTAGAGAACTTTGCCTAGAGCTTAGAATTAAGAATCATTTCTCTAGTCCAAACCTTCAAGCCAACAGTTAGATCGAGGCCATGAACAAAATCATTAAGTACACCTTTAAGCGCAAACCTGACATTTCCAAGGATATGTGGGTTGAGGAGTTCCCTCACATATTGGGGGTCCACAAATACCACTTGCAAAACTGCTAGGGATACTCCCAAGAGCCTAGTGGATGTGGGACTTCCTTCACCTTGCGGCCTCTATTTCAATGAAATTACCAATAATTAATTGAGGAGAACACAAATGGATTTTCTTTATGCATGTCGAGACTAGTCCCAGGTCGAATAAGTGACATGCAAAATGAAAATGACTTGATACTACAATTTATAAATAAAGAAGAGATCATTAAATCTCAAAGATTTAGTCTTGAGAAAGGTCATTCATCTTTAAAGGATCTTGGCATCAAAACCCTAGGCCCCTATTGAAAGGGCCCTTATCGTGTCATCAAATAAGTGTGCCAAGGTTCACATAGAATTGAAGAGATAGCTCACAAGCAGCAACCTTATCCTTGTAATGTGGAGGAGCACCTTCGTAAATACTTTCAACATATATATATATATATATAAAATTTAGGTTGGATGCTCTTTCTTGATGTATAAATATCCTTTACACAATTTAATCAAGACCATATCGAGCCCAAGGGTCGTAATTATCGTGCATCTCAAAAGCCTTGGTAGTTAAGACTCGTGAATTATCGCTTCAATGTAAGGGAGTTCTTGCCTATCAAAAATGGGGTATCGTCCTTTAGGATCCACAATTACTATTCTGGAGATACTTGATTATATTTACAATTACTATTCACCTATCATCCACATATTCCGTAAAATCATAAATTTATAATCACTCCTCAAACATATACGAAATGTGTTTTTGGTTAGACAAGTCTCCCCTTACCAGACTTTTGAGCTTAATGTAGACCTTGTTAAGAGAATTGGGTGGCCCATTTGTAACTGTGGAATGAGCTCCAGCTCCAAAAGATATCTGATACTTTTTGTAAGTATTATGCCCTAAATCTAATCGATTTAGGTTGTAAACGCTTGTAATATGTTTAATGCATTTGATTTTGGCGAGATCTATTATTTATTTAAATTAATTTTGTGATAAATAATATTAAATAATAGAATTCGAAGATCCAATTTTTAGGTAATATGTTAATCACAAGGAGTTGTGATTGTGAGATATAAATTACATATATTTGGATCTTGAATAAACCATGGTCGTAAGTAATAACGAGATACGGATATCGTTAATACAGTTAGACCATCACGTGTGGCATTTCTTACTTGTGAAGTAAGTAGCTGATCTCACGAGTTAAAGTGTGGTACACTTAAATGAACACGTGGATGTTTTGTTATAGAACAAAACATTGGAGACCCGCTAAGAGATTCCACATGGATAACTATCTGAGTGTCAGTGGTTAATTTCTAATGTTCGGTAGTGAAATTGGTCCTTCGACTTGAGGTCATCATGATATCTTATATGAGGACAGTTATACTTTGGCGGTGTTGGATGTTGCTCTGAAAAGGGCCGCTAATACGACATCGTTCAGGTACGTCAAGAATCGTATGAAGGTTGTGATTGATCAATAAAGGATTCATCGCTCTTAGATATAAAGGATTCAATTAAGTCGATGATGAAATCCTTGGCCAAGGTGTACTCATAAGTCGAAAAGGAGTTTTCGATTTATATTGACTTAATAGTAGAGTGAAAGATATGATTGATGATCGAAATTGACACAATTCCATATCTCATAATTGATCGAATCATATTGACGAAGGGATTATAGTTTCACGGTAAACGAACGAATTTGGTTTTGTCATACCACATGACATTTCCTGTCACATGTATTGCCCTAACACATTGCTAGATGTCAATCAGGGACGGCGAGTGTGAATTGACGATAAATTAAAAGGGTGTTTTAATTTATCAATTTTGATTAGATCAAAATAATATTTCACGTCGTTAGGTATCGTGGTCGGGAACCTAATGGGTCGCACACAAAAGAGAATTGGAAGATTGCAAATTGCCAATTGGTTAATTTAACAATCGTTGGATAAATTAATTAATTGGATTTGTTATTTATATTCCCGAATTAATTTATTCACGGACCGGATTTAATTAATTGGATTAATTAAATATTGGATCGGACCGGGCCGGGTCCGTTTGGGTTTATATAAATACATAGCTAGGTTTTGAGGTCCATAAAGTTTTCATTATTCTTGCTGGCACAAAAGGAAAACCCTAGCAGTTGTAGTCTGTTCTCTGTGTGGATTTCATTGGAGGTTGGACAATTGGACAGCTGTGGGAGGCAGATTCAAGTTGCTGGAGAGGAATAACGCGAATGAGTTTGCAAATTAAAAGAAAAGGTATATTTCTTATCACAGTTTTTATGTAAATACAAAGTTGAATCCTGAATAGGAATTGAAATTTGTTAAATTCCGTTGTGCATGTATAAGTAAATTCCCAACACTTTCTTGGTCATAATTACCGAATGGTCTAATTCCGATGGCACAAAGAAATACTTTTTAAATAAATGAAAATGATAGATGGTCATGATCTATAGTTTAGTCTATCGTGATATTATTTTGTTTGCCATTGTCTGCTCTTATTTAGAATCCACCCTCTTATAAAGTAGGAATTAAAAGAAATTTTTTTTGAAGAAATGTCTAAAACCTGAAAAGTAGTTTCTAAAAAATTATATTTTCGTATAAACTAAGAAATATTATTCTCATAATATAATTAATCTTAATGTGCAAAAAGGTTAATACCATAAAATCATGAAGAAGAAGTTGAAAAATATTCACGTGGTGCAAGTAGGTAATATTACCCCTTCGCTTCACACTACCAAAGTAACAAATCTTTTGTCTATTTGGTATCAATTCTTCCCTACAAATTAGCTTTTGGGCTCTGTCTCTATCTAGTCTCACACCTATCCACACTCTGATACCATAAGTTTGTTAGTCATTAATCATAATTTCTTTATAATTTAATAATCAAAGTCAAATCGCAAATCACATTTTGTGAGACCTACAAATATAATGAAACCAGAACATACATTGCATTTACAATAATAATATATATTTTTTAACAAATATACTCATTTATGTATTTTCAATGTGCAAGAGCCACGAAAGACGAGATAATCATCTACCATAAATTCCCTACACAAGACAAGCTTGTGCTTCGAGTTTTATACTTTGCTTGAAAGACTACTTGTCACATAGAGAGAATGAGAGAGCTTGGAACTTAATTAATATGGAAGAAGTGATCCTTCGCGTAATATAGGTTACAAATAGTAATTTTAGCAACAAAAACCTGGATTTCGCACTTGTTCAACTCAACAATGTTGGTAGATAGGGCATCCCTATTAACGACACCTTCCACATGTTGATTTTAGCGATAATCATGCTAAGAATCGAGAATCACAAAATTATAAATTGATAGTTCAAATTCATACCTGCGGACGACATTATGGATATGAATATTAGTAGCCAGATCTTCATCTTCTTGCTCCTTACAAAATATTAGCCTTCAATGGGACAAGTCAATAAAACAATACAAAGAGGAAATGAGCCTAGCCTTTATATAGAAATTTATTGAGCTGTCCTATTAACAGCTCCAATCTAAATTAGGGTTTACATATATTTTCAACCCATATACTTAAATAGTCACATTATATAAAATATAACCCGTAAGGTGTCAAACGTCCCAATTGATCACTTAACATATTGGCCTTAATCACAGCATCATTATGAGCCAATTCTCCTACATCTGATTGCTATAAAACAACTTTTGACTTTCAGGTTAGACTGCATAGGTGGCCACCCACAAGAATAGCTCCAATGATGACATCTTAAGTAACATGATCCAGTCCAACACAAATGTTGATATCGAACATAGAAATCGTTAAACCATTTAAAGGACGTAAGACGACTCCACCGTTAGAAATGCCAACATTCTTATCGACATAAATTACCATCCTCCAACCAATGTGCTAGTATGTAGTAGAACTTGGAACCAAAAGTGAAAAAAAATAAAAAAATAACCTATGCTAATTCATATCGGTCCTGATAATATTTCAGATCAAAATGAAGCCACTTCTCTAAAAGAGACTCATCTCATGTTTCTATCTGTTATATGTTGAGATCATAAAAACATTATAATAAAAAGACATAAATCAAATGCATGCTCAAAATAATTCATAGATAGGGGAAAATATATTTTATTATTGGAAAAGATTGTACTCGAAAAACATATAGACCCCGTTTGGTACCTGTTTTTGTGAAAATGAGAATGAGAATGAAAAATATAGTTGTTACGAGACCGACACAAGAGATGGAAAGTCAAATATGGTGGCTGATATGATGTATAGCAGTCATATTTTTATTTTCGTGGCCAAAGAATGAGAACCAAACAGGGGCATAGATTGCCTATGCACCCCACAAAAGGATCAAGCCAAAACATAGTTATTTTACATAATAACTCCTACTAACCAAAAACATCAAGGTTTCCACAATACCCATATTAGCAACATGTGTTTTAAAAACCTTTGGATCAAGTCCCTTAGTCAAAAGATCTACAATCATCACCTCTGTAATGATATGCTCTGTTTTTGTTTGCCTTTCCTTAACTCTATTTTTAACCAACAATTATTTGATGCCAATGTGCTTTGACCTACCGAAACTTTTATTATTCATTGATTACAACACTGCTGTGGTATAATCACAATAAATAATGATTGGCCTTGAGATTGAATCAACAACTTTCAAACCATAAATAAAATTTTTTAACCAAATGGCCTGGACTATAGTCCCATAACATACCACAAATTTAGCCTCCATAGTAGAAGATGTCACTAAAGTCTGCTTAATATTTTTCTAAGAGATAGCATCACCAGCTAACATGAAAATATAACTTAAGGTTGATTTCAAATCATCTTAACATCCAGCAAATCAGAATCTAAGTATCCTACTACTTCAAGGTGATTTGAACATTAGAATATAAGCATAACCTTAAGTTTTCTTCAAGTATCTCATAAGTTTCTTAGCTACTTCCCAATGTTGTTTTCCTGGATTTAAATGAAGCTTACTAAGGACACTGGTTGCATAATCGATATTTGGTCTAGTGTAAAATTGAGCATACATCAAACTCCCTACAGTACTAGCATATGGTATCATCTTCTTAGATTCCTTTCTAGCTCTTTCATTAGATATTGAGCTTTACTAAACTTATCCCCTTTTAAGATAGGTACATCACTACGTGCACAGTTCTACATATTGAATCATTCTAGAACACGTTTTATATTAGCCTTCTGAAAAATTCCCAACAAGCTACGATTTCTATCACGATGTGTTTCAATGCCAAGCACATAAGAAGCTTCTGCAAGATCTTTCGTCTCAAAATTAGCAGATAATATTTTCTTTATCTCATAAAGCAACCCCAAGTAACTACTAGAAAATAAAATGTCATCAGCATACAGGACAAGAAAAATAAAATTTCTCCCACTAATTTTGAGGTAAATGCATTGATCAACCGTATTTTCAACAAAATCAAGAAAGATTATAACCTTATCAAACTTTTAAATACTACTATCGTGATACTTGCCTGAGTCCATATAATAATTTGTTTAACATGCATACCAAGTTTTCTTTTCTCTTCACAACAAAACCTTCGGCTTGGCTCACGTAAACCTTTTTAGAAAGATTTCCATTCAAAAAAGTTGCCTTAAGATCCATTTGATAAAGGTCCAAATTGTTGTGCACCACAAGTGCCATAATAATTCAAAAAGAATCTTTGGACGAAATGGGTGCGAAGGTTTCATTATAATCAATGTTTTCTCATCAAGAGAAGCCTTTTGCAATCAATCTCGCTTTTTTTCGCTCAACATTCCCTTTCGAATCCAACTCACTTTTGAAAATCTACTTATTATTTATAGCTTTGGCATCCGGATAAAGTTCAAGAAGTTCCCAAACTTTGTTCTGTTCCATAGAACTCATTTCATCTTCCATAGTATATATCCATTTATCTGACTGAGGACTTGTCAATGCGTAATTATAAGAAACATGATCAACAATATGTCTAATATTAAAATCATTCTCCAATAAATATGTAATGTAATCACTGGGCAATGCAAACCTCTTTTCCCTTTGCGATTTTCTAACTTGTGGCTTAGAAATTGATCTAATTGTTGTTGGAGGAAGAATTAGAAGTTTCCCGAGGTTCCTCGGTTCTTCATTAACAACTTTAACTGATTGAGAACCAACTCTTTCCTAGAAAACAGGAACTGAAGCAACAACTTACTTTAGCTCAACAAAAAAAAAAATTCAATGTAGAACGCTCACTATCACCAAAATCATTCTCTAGAAATTTAGCAGTAATGGGCTCAACAATTCTAGTGCCACGATTTGGATAATAGAATTTATAACATTATGATCTGTCCGGGTACCCAATAAAGTATCCAAGAGTGGATTTCAGGTCTAATTTCTTTTTGAAAGGATTATAGATTCTAAAATCAGCTGGATATTCCCAAACTTTGACATGAGCCAAACCAGGCTTACGTCCTGTCCATAATTCAAAATGTGTCTTTAGAACAGCTTTACTTGGAACTCTGTTCAAAAAATATATGGTATTTTTCAAGGCTTCTCTCCATAAATATTCTGGCAAATTTGTTCTACTCATCATGCTCCTGATCATATCTTTCAGAGTCTAATTATGTATTTCAAAAATGTCATTCTGCCTAGATGTTCCTAGCATGGTATATTGAGGTAATACTCTATACTCTAGTAAAAACTTTACAAAACTACCCATGTTTTAACCAGACTCGTCATACTTGACAAAGTACTCACCATCATGGTCAGATCTTACAACTTCGATACTTTTCCCATATTGTTTCTCTACTTCCATTTTGGAAATCTTGAAGTTCTCAAGTGCATGAGATTTATCATTAATCAAGTAAATATATCTATATCGTAAAAAATCATCAATAAAAGTTATGAAGTATTTGTTCCCGTATATAGTGGAAGTCAAAGGTTTACTAGTATCAGTATGAATCAAGTCTAAAGTACCATCACTGTTAGTGGAACCTTTCTTTGTAGACTTAGTTAGCTTTCCTTTTATACAATCCACACAGGTGTCAAAGTTAGAGAAGTCTAGAGAAGGAAGTATCTCAACTTTTACCAAACTTTCCATTTTTTCCCTTGAAATGTGACCCAACCGCTTATACCACAACGTGGAGAATGATTCATGGATTAGAGCCCTTTTCTTTGACACATTGTTAACATAAGAGACTTCATCAAAAAGAGTCGAAGACAATTTATAAAAACCATCACATAAAAGGTAATTTCCAATCAAAGGAGAATCATGAAACAACTCAACCATTTCATTACCAAAATTAAAGGAAAAACCACAAGTATCAAGTTTTGATATAAAAATTAAATTCCATTTCATTGTCAGAACAAAAATTGTATTTTCTAAAACAAGCGAGAAATCAAACTCCAAAGACAATTTCACTGCTCCTATGAACTATACCTTCACTTGAACTCCATTTCCAATGCACAACTCACTTGGCCTCCGTTCGTTTGTGAGCCCCTGTAAAGAATTCAGAATATGAATACTAGCTCGCGAGTTTAATCACCAAGAATTCAAAAGCACGTATACAAAGGAAGACTCAAAATAAACTACGGACAACAAGATACCTACAAAACACTTTTTTTCTCTAACCAAATATTAAACTTAAAACAATTTTTCTGCCAGTAACCTTTCTTTTTGTCGAACTTGAATTAATCAATTTTCTTTATAGTTCCTTTAGGACCACAGAAGTCTAACATCCAAAATTTTTATTCTGCTGATTTTGATGTGACTTATTACCTTTACGAAATTTAGATTTATGGTTATAAGAAGATCCCTTGTTCTGTGATGGTTGAAAAGCTAGTTGTACAGTTTCAACAATCTTACGCTGCATTCTATAATCCTCTTAAGCACATACTGCAATAAGGTCATCTAAATCTCATTTATCTCGCTGAGCATTGTAAGCTACCTTAAGTTGATTGAATTAGCTAAGAAGGCTATTTAAAACATGACAGACTAGGATCGGCTCCGGAATGGGAATTTTAGGAGTCTTTAGCTTGGATGATATATTTATCATCTTCATAACATGCTCTCTAATTCCACTTGTATCATCACATCTCATATCCATTGTTTTGTCCAGCACATATCCAGTTACAGCTTCATCAAACTCAACAAATTTCTCTCTTATGGTATCCATAAAACTTTTGGCATTTTCATTATTTGGAATAGCATTCATAGTGGAATCAGTTATAGAGAACTTAATAATTTCCAAATAAAGTTAGTTGACCTTTTTCCACTTTTCATATTCAGCTACATATTCAAGAATGCTCTTATCTAAGAGTTTCAAAAGCTTTTTCTTCATTGTAAAATTCAAGCCCAAAAATTCAAGTGCTATTTTTACATCCTATTTTCATTTTACATAATTATTTCCAGTCAAGGTTTAATAATAGATAATTGACTCGAAAGAGATGAGGCATTATAAATTGTGAAAACATAAAATATCATATTTAATATCATCTAAACATAATGCATGCAGTCAACGGATGATAACATATTCATCTAATCAACATGGGCTATTAATTAGATAATATGTAATTAAAGTCAAAACCATATGAATCTTATTACGGTAAAAGCCTAGATGCATCATCATAAAGTTACATTTGAGATGACAATACAATACGCTGTAAATACTCTTAAAACACATCATGAAACTAGTTAATAAAACCACATTGGTTTTTGAAATACAAATTCCATTGGACAGAAGGTGATTACTAGACTAAGGTAAACTCGTTAATTGCCTTATGCCATTTTTCAAAACATCAAATATAATAACACCTTTGGCAATATACTATATGAAATATTTTAAAGTTATGATGCTAAAGTCTCTCAATTTTTTTTTAGAGAAAATCGAATAAATAACAACGAACGTGCCACTTTGGCATTTATCACCTATTTTTATTTCAAATTCAATTGCAAAACAATAATTATATAACAAATCATAATCATCAATCGATGAAATGCAAAATGCATATGTGATTGAGAGATAAAATTGGCCACAAAATTTTAATATATGAAAGTTGAAATTTAAACGGACAAATAATAGCAACATTTAAATATATAAACATTTTAATGAAAATATAAAAATCGTCAATCAATTTTATTTTATTTTTTGTCAAAATTCAAAATTTTGGCCCAAGCCCATTTGAAAGTCTAATTCAAAACCATTTAAAATTTGGATTCCAAACACTTTTGAAAATTGCAAATTTGCCCCCTGATTTTGAAATTATAAAGGAACGTTACAATTTTGGAAACTACATAATAGGTCATTCCATTTTAAAATTGCGAACAGACCCTTTCTCCTTAATTGCATGTGGGGGCCATAATATAACTGTTTAAAACCTAGGTCCCCACTTCCGTTCAACTGATTTTGCAAAAAAAACCTTTATTTATTTATTTCTAAGCTGTCAACACCGGGAGGAAACATCAAATAGATAGCCTCGCGCAACAAGTGATGTTGCCATTATCATAAACCGCGAACACAGCAACAAGACCGTGGCTGTCAACGCCCAGGGACAGGAACCACCAAATAGGCAATGCATCAAAAATCATGTATAAAATCGATACACAGTATGAATCGAGAATGATTCTTCTAAATTTAAATCCCTAGCATCAACATCATGGTATACAGATTTGATGAGGGACAAAATATAATGCCTCTCTCCACTGACATTAAGGCCCCGTTTGGTAGTCATTTTTTTCAAAATGTATTTTTCTCTCTCTTTTTTTCAACCACACATTCTTTATTAAAATAATGTTACACGTAAATAAAAAAATTTTACTTATTTTTTAACTACACATTTCACATCAATTTATCATTCTAAAATACATTTTTACATAAAAATGTCTATCAAACACCCCCTAAAATTCAAATATGCGAACATCCCGCACATTATTTTCCTTAATTATTATTATTATTATTATTATTTTATTTATTTATTTATTTTAAGTTCTTCCTCAAAAGGAATGTTGACTATGGAGAAGGGAGAGCGGCAAGGGAATTGAATGTTCACAGAATTACATGCTAAATATATATATATATATATATATAGATTGAAGCATATTGGGATATCGACAACGAGAATTTGGTTTTCTATTATTTGTAATTCAAAGGTGGGAATTGAAAAAATAAAGCTATTTTATGAAGGATTCTTATTTTAGCATGTAAGCTTTGATATTAATTGTTGATTTTAACAATACGAGGGTGCGGGCCGGGGGTTTGCGCAGTTGAGTCTTGTGGGCCTATTCCGGATTTTGATCAGAAGGCAAGGCTGCGAGCGAAAAAAGGAATTGGATCACGATAAATGGGTCATTTTACTACAGAAGACATTGTCGATATGAATATTAACAGCCAGATATTCAACTCATCGCTCCTCACAAAGTATTAGCAGTCAATTGAACAAGTCAATAAAACAATATAGAGATGAGAAGGGACCTAGCTTTTTTATAGGAATTTATTAAGCCGTCTCATTAACGACTTCAACCCTAATTAGGGCTTACATATGTTTTTGGTCCATATACTTAAATTACTACATTATATAAAATATAATCCGCCGGGTGTAAAACGGCTCAATTGATCACTTAATATGTTGGGCTTAATCCCAGGATTATTATGAGCTATACATCTAACCCGTAAAATTTATAATTAAATGGGAAGTCCATATTTAGAATTATTCTGACATCACACTGCCATTGAGGTTTACACTCTCCCATTGGCAAAAACTTGATGTATCCATATCGTGAACGCATTGGTTGGCGGAGAGAGGGGTCACATGACCCCCAACCTTTTGGACCAAAAAAGAAAAAGTTTGTTTTTTCCCTAATTTATTACAACAAAGAATATGGAAATTGATTATCATTTTATCGGAGAAAATGTTGTAGTTAACGATATTACAGTCAAGTATATCACTACAAATGTTCATATTGCAAATGCCTTTACAAAAGGACACACTGCCAACCGATTTCAATATCTATGTTCCAAATTGTTGGTGACTAATCTCCCCATCAGTTTACAAGGGAGTGTTAGAGTATTTGAGCTAAGTCAACAATTAGGTGAGCAAAATCTGTAGAATCTCAAGTTAGTTTAGGAGACTGCAGAATTTTGAGTTTGCAGAATTTTGAGTTATTTTAGAAGATTCAAATGTATTTTTTTCTTTTTTTTGTCAAACACTCCACTATTCATTGGATAGCTACTAGGACTTTTTAAATCACTAAATTCTATTGCATGCAGACTTTATAAATTCACAATCAATATGCACAAGGCTCAATAAGACAAGCAATCAAAATATTTTCCATATACTGCGTGTTTCATCTTAGAGCATAGATGCTAGTAACTCTCCCTCATGGGTGGTTTAACCCTCAGCTTTCATTTCTTTACTTCTTTCACGACGAGAAAACTGCAGCTGAATCAGTCGAAGTGGACAAGGCCCCACTAAGTCAAATTTCTCGACCGCGCTATGGTGACAGAAACCCTTAACAGAAACCTTGACCTGCTGACATGGAAAGTAGCATTTTCCTTTCCCTTAAATTTTAAAAAAAATAAAAAATAAAAAAAAATAAAAATTAATAAAAGACAGAAAATTAATAAACCAAACAAGGATCCGGCCCAATAACTCAAATCCCATATCTCACTGCCCCTCCCAAGACGAAATCGGTTTCCTCCAAATCTACCAAATTAAAACCCTCAAGCGTCGGCACAGATTAACTCACTCCCTTCGACACCGGCACGAAAAGACGGCATTTGTACCCCTCGTTCTTGCTGCACCAGACCTGTACTCATCTTCGTCATTGGAAGCAAGTTCGAATATGTGGGTTTTTTAAGGATTGACTGTGAGGTATAATTTTTGGGGGTTTAATTTTTGTTTTCTTATTTTGTAGTAAGTAACAATAAAGGCTTTAAACAATGAGAAACAAGGTCAAAGAATTATTATTGATTATTTTAATATATTGCTTACACGGTCATTCCGCAGGTCAAAGAATATGGTAAAGTAGCATTTTCCTTTCCTATTTATTTTATTTATTCATTATTCACTTTTTCCAAAATTTCGTCTAATAGCCTTTTTGAGTAAACTACTTGTATTCACTTTAACCGATCTATTAAGTTTTTTGATAAATTAGTCTAACAATTTTATTAAACTATTTGGTGGTAGAGAAGGTTGATCAAAGAAAATTATCAGCAGTTTTGAGGAGAAAAAGGCGATGAAGCTACAATAACAGTAATATAATACAATAATGCATTACGCAGCACTCAAATAAGAGAAATAGGCAGTTAGGTAAGAGGAAATCAAATAACAAACCATACAAGGGCACAGACACAGACAAAGACAAAGACACAGAGAAAGATACACATGAAGATAGAGCTAGGACTCGAATATACTACGATATGACTAGGCCATCATTCTACATGGTCATGGCCCGGTTAAGTTCCGGCCCCTGATGTTTATTTCTTGCTGGTTTCTTCATCTGGTCCGGCAATTCTTCCAGCAAAGAACTTTGGTTTAAATTGCTCTGTTCGAAGTCGATTACCTTTGCTTAAACTGATAAGAGACTTGGGAGTCTTAATGGCCGTATCGATGGCATTCTTATACGCCTCCTTTCCAGCAGATAACATTTCATCCTTGGTTTTATGCAGCGTTCGTACTGCTTCACAGGCAGTATCTCCGACATCGGCAAACCTATTTATGTAAGACATTAAACCCTAATGCCAAGATCTTTGGAATTCATGATTTTCACATATGAATTTAATTGATCAAGAAAACATACCTTGATCCATGGCAATAATTGAGAATTTTAGATCTGTAAAATAATAAACTGTTAAAATTAATGAAACCGTTCTCTCACTTTTCCTCTCTTTTATTGAATAAATTAATTGATGGATTTCATTCACATTTATAGGCAGAGAGAGGCAGTCTCATTTTGTGCCATAAAACTCTCAACTTTCCATCAAAGTAGACAATTATAAAACTACCATTTCTCAATTGGGCCAATAGGATTTTAGTAATATTAATCACCTTAAATTAATTCTTTAATATTACATGGGCCACAAATAATTGGTTTTACATTCTCCCACTTGGCCCGTGTAATATTGTTTTGTTATGTGGTATATAACATAATGCGCATACCATTAGCTAAAATCCATCATACATTGGTCACTTAATATATCATCCTTAAGTAAAGACTAATAAGAGTCATGGCG